GATTACGTAAGCTGTTCGGCGCATCAGCGATAAACATTATTCACATAGATAAGAGGTTAAAAAAGACCGTGTAAATTGACTGATGAATGCATCTATTCTGAACAGCTCCTCTGCTTAAATCAAATACGTTTTGGATGTACACAAAATCCCACTTTTGTGTAAATCGATTCAAATCCGAGCAATTTTATACATAGACACTATGTCGCGTAGATACCCTTTGGAGTACATCTACGCAGGCAAATTGAACATGCGAGCAAATTGAATTGGATCTGCGTGGATTTACACAGAGGCTCTTTCTGTGTACATCCAACCGGGAGTGGATTTAAACGGACAAGCCGTTCTGGTAAGATGCAATCATAACCTGTTACACACTGAAGCACCATTATGTGTAATTCAACTCGCAAGAGGATTTAAGCAGAGATGTTCTGCGTAGGCGCACTCACGATGTGATATACACGAAAGAATGTTCGGTCTAGATCGTGACGTCGAGGAACTATTTCAACTAGGTAGGGAGTAGCCCAACCAATGACCTGAAATCCCCCTTATTCAGTAAACTACGAAAGCCCTCCCCCTCCAGGGAAAACTTTGTTTTTCCGACAGTTCACGCCCGATCGGATCTTCGAAATAGTTCAGGCAGGGGGTGGTAGATGCATGCATTCTATGTCAGAACAAATATTATAAGGTGAGGCAGCCGTTCTTAAAGGGAAAGAAGAAAACAAAAAATAAGCTAGAAGCCTGTTTTGAAACGTTAGACAAGCCAGATAGGACCTGTCAGACATTTAGATGACGTACAGACGTATGTGAACCCCCATGTGTTTGTATATATATATATATATATATATATATATATATATATATATATACACATATATGTCTATATAGGCTCTATGCTGGTATAGGTATGTATGTTCCGACGTTCTTGGCGTTGCAGACGGGACCGGTCAGCAAAATGCCATTGCATGCTCTATATCTTATTTTTACGTGTATACGTCTCTTAGCTGGAATGTGATCAGTATAGTTGTGGGCCAACATTTGGGCACGGATATCACCAGCAGGTGCCTTTCATGCCTGCGACAGTTCCGGTGGATTTTATTCTGATCGGTTCAATTTCATGAACAGTTGCGGCCGTAAGTAAGATAAGACAGACCGCGTAAAAGATGCCGCGAGTCCGGCAGGCAGGTCAGTGCAAAATGCATAGCTTCGTACATGGCGAACGTGACATCGCGCTAGTGACATCCGATTGTAAGTGGAATCTGTCATAGAACCATGGGGTCTGTTGGCTTTGGGTTAAGATGCTTCCGTTGACGACGAACGCTCTGGGGATATCTTGGAGGCATGGTTTGTCCCTTGGTCCTTTCCGTGACATGACATTTTATGGACCTAGGACGCAGCTGATCACTCTTTGTGCACTCATCCAACACTTGCTGCTGCGGTTTTTCCGAGCGGAGGACAGGGCGGTGCGGGGCAGATAATGGGAACAGCTTCGCATGTGTCCCCTTCTCCGTTTTCACCGCCCGTGCTTACTTCCTTTGGTTGCCGTTAGATGTGATATCGAGCAATCTTTTTACAGCGCAGCTTATCACGACGGTCTGAACAAAGCATTGCCCAACCCAGTCTATATCACTAAACACCCATCCTATCATCACTGAACACGGACAATACGCAATATTTTTAACGCCGATGATTTGTCACTGGGACTAAACCACGTACCTATCTATCTATAAACCATATATATATATATAAACCACGTACTTACCACGTATCGATAATTAAATCATGTAGTATTGAAAATATACATATCATTATCATGCACGGACAGCGTGTTGTCGTTTGGATCTTTTTAGACACGGATATGCGCCCAACTGATAGCCGGATAATTTCCTTACCCACCAACACACCGGTGGCATAAGGCACCGCAGTCGTGCCATCTATATTTTTACGATGGCTCAAAATGCACAGTTTAACTCTACACGTCCCAAGCAGGGCGCGCAACTTAAAGCTGAAAAATGTTCATTTAAAACCGGGTCCTGTGCCGCAAATGTGTAAGATGTCTTTAAGTGCTGTGAAATAGCGTTGCACGTTCTTGATCTAATTTTTACATTTCCACCCGAAATGTTTGACTGTCAGTAGTTAGTTACGCACCTAGTGGTGCATGCCGTATATTTGGTGAACGGGACACGTACCCCTCAGCTTATATGTGCGGACCCCCTGTCCCTGTGCACAATGATTTACGCGCGTGCCTCCAGCGGTTCATGATGCTGAAATCGTATCTCCGCTGCCGAGTCCACGGCGGCAAAAACAAACGCGTTAACTCTACGCTTGCTGCATGCATGGCCACCGAACGTCTTTGGTGCACTTTCAAAGCTACGCAGTGCGGACTGGTGACACTGGAATGCATACTTGACTGGTTCCGTAGTTACACGCAGCATTAAACGATTCCGCTTTTTCATCATGCGGCATGCAAATAGCCCGTGTAAAGCTCAAACGATGGCCCTTTGCTCGGCTGTCGGTCCGTTATCGACGCGCCTTCTTTTACAAGCCGGAAATTCCAAGCCTTTCATGTTGTTCACACCTGTATTGTTTTCTGTCTATCTTACCAATGCTACAATGCTTCCATATCACTCAGTTCCAGTCTTATCCACAATGCACAGTTTGACAGATATCCACTACTACGACATGAACAAATGTGCCGATGAGCACATCACAATGAAACGTTCGTATCAACGAGTGACGCTCATGGATGCAAATGTGACATGCCGCCAATGGATTCGTCCATTTCCACACTACAATACCATACACCACAGAGGACTTGAATTGTCCTCAGAGGGCAGTCATCTCTTCTTTTTTATGTTTTTTTTTATTTTATATTATGTTGATTATAGCATGTATATTATATTATATATACTATATCATACATATTTATATTAGGATTTTTATGTTACTTCTCAAGCAGCTACAAAGGCGGGCCAGTGATTTACAGTAGTCGGGGCCTCCGTATCTGTCAGTGGCCCACCGTGTGTAATGGGGGTACTGTATTCGCCAGCTGACCTGAGCCGACCAAGGGCAGTGTTCGATGAGGTCCGAAGAGGGGCTCGGGCGGCTCACCGGAACCGGCGATCAAGGGCCCAGTTGGAGGGCATAAGGGCCCGAAGGGTTGGCTGAAAGGCACATGAAAAATCGCGTTCCGTAGGGTCATGACCTAAAATATCAGTCAGGGGGCCTTATGTACCGTTTGAGCAACCCTTGAGACAACATGGTGTCTGAGTTGACTTGAGACCGCCAACACCGAACAATTGGCTCTCTGTCGTGCTATGCCGCTGTTCGTACCATTCAAAGGCTAGACTGGGTGACTTTTTACGAATTTGAGGCTGTCCTCTGATAACTCAGACAGATTAACAGTTACATGTCAGATCCAGACAGAGACAGAGACAGAAAAACAGTTGCAGCCACATGAAGAAGAAATTCAACCTTTACCCTTTCAGTCCCACCACCAGATTCCAGCACCACTTCGCGGTCCTGTAAAGACTGATCCGTTTTTATCATGAATCTAAAAATCCCACAGGTGAAATATACTTTCAGGCTGGCTTCTGAATATACAATCTGATGTCCAGCATTCAAAGGTCCTTCTTTCACCTGCGTCATTAGTTTTGTCCACTCGGTGGCCGAGGCTCAGCGTGAGCTGTGGGTCCGATGTTGCGTGGCTCACGGGGACTGCAACGTCTGGCGTCTAGTTTTTTGTTCTGCTTAGACTTGCGAGCGCACCTGCTCAAAATTACGTTACCACATTTATATCCCAAATCGATTCTTACTGAATGTTGATTAGTCTCAGACAAAGATGGCTCGGCCATGTTAATACAAATTGATGATCTATTTTGACCTGCAACCTACATTCGTGAAATCCTTAATATATCTGTAGAGCCCAGACAGAAATTATGACACAGCTTCGAAGTTGCCTCGGCCTGGGAAAAGTGCACTACACCATTGTGAAATGAAGAGCGCCGGCGATTTAATGCATGCAGCTGTTCAACGTATGATTCGTTCAGTTTATTGACTGAATTTCCGGCGGAATGGATCTCACGTTAGCTTCCGGATTTTATCCCAGTTATAGAAGGTGGAAATAAGAGAATAGCAAAGGAAAACGAACCCTCAATAACAAGTGCGTCCTATCCGGCGATTTTCTTTTCCTGACGGGGGCTTTCACTATCAGGAAGTCCTTTGTTAACCGTACCCCCTTTGCCAAGGCTCTGGCTGTGCAACCGGGCATCGGTTCTAGTTATGACGGAAATAAGACTGGAAATCGAATAACACTGGAATCGACCATGTGAATGTAAGGAACAAAAGTATGAAGCCTCGGACCAATATGCAAGAGGAAATATGCAAGCAAGGGTCACAACTCGCGGACGTAACGGCATCCCAGTTCTGCGTACATGCAGGGCCTAACTATCTATAGGCAAGTTGAGGCAATACAACTAAGTCTGCCTGTTCGCTACGGTGGCAATTCCACACGGGCAATTTGACAGCAACTCTGACGCCATCTGAACGTTCCATTACGCAATCAAACGGTGCCGTACTGAGCAAGATATTCAGCAAGCAGTGAAATTATAATGTTTAGAGCAGCCTTTTGCACTTAAATATACTAATAGTTTTAAGTGAGCCTTTTCGGTCACTTCTGATGCATGCCCCAACATCTTTAAATATGGAAGTTAGAGCAATCCATTTAAAGTTACTGATGTGCTCGCACCAACCAGGAAGAAAAAGAATATATTCCGTTGACGTCATCCATGATGCCTAAGATTTTGCACGTTTTGGTGCTTAAGTGAACTGGACGACAAAAATTTTACGTGACGTCACAGAGTATCTTTCTTGCACGTGCTGAATCTTGCATATGAGCTGATCTAAGTGAGACAGAAAAAGCGCATCAGATTCGGTTTTAAGAAGTCGGTTTGCGTACCGGAAGGCGGAACAACCACGAATGATGTGATAAAAAGGTGTTTCACACTTTACAAACAGCATGCTTCGCAGTTTGCGTCGTCAAGGGTACGCACGGTACGCATAGTACCTCCAAGCGAAAACCTTTGTGTTGGTGTGCGCAGAGTTATCTTCACAACAGGTACCGAGATGTTGACAGAAAACGCATACGGTGAACACGTCCAGCGCAGATATACGGACGATACGTATTATACAACATTCGTGGAATGCTACAAATGCACCTTACGTCTTCCAAATAATTTGCGACATCACTGGGAAATCAAACATGTAGGTTAATTTAGTGTCAACCTAACCTGAGCAGTCTTCAGCTGATCACTAGGCATGACTAACTGACTATTTTTGAATGTGAGATGGTTCATCCCTGTTCTCTGATTTTTGATGGTGTTTTGAGGTCTAATAAGGAGAATTCAAATTGAATGAGTGCTTCTAGAATTATACATTTTATTTAACTGTACTGTAGTCTCATAAACACATCTGTCTGCAATTATTTGGTGCACAGGTTCTGATGGTCATCATGTGGTAGTTACAGAACCATCAAAAATGGCATTTACCAGTTGCATCCTGAAAAATGTAGACAGTGGTCAAAGTGTGAAGCTGTGTGCAGGAAAGCAGTTTGTGGGAAGGTCACGAGAAACAAAAATTCAAGATACTCGATGCTCTAAGAAGCAAGGCAAGTAAGATATTTGCATGCTACCTTGCATTGTTCCAGAACAACAAACAACTGAGGTATCATTGAGATGTGCCTTGAGATATGACAGCTTTGTTTTTCATGTGCATAATGATGCATTGCTGATTTGCATGCATTTTGTTATGATTACTTCTTCCACCCAACCCCAAATAATATTGTTTTGGGATAAGTGGCTATCTTTCTGGTAGGATGATCTCATTTAGAGCCCAACCAAGGTTGTGTCATTAATGGATGACCAAAAGTTAGTGATAGAAAGCACTAGCAGAAATATGTCGTGCAGAAATATGTGCATACTGTTATTTCATAGAGCATTGCTTATTTTACACTTATGCCTTAGCTTTTTATTACATGTGAAGTGCCTGCACCAGCAAGCCTGCCAGCTGCTGACACTTTCACCTTTGCCTGCAGTCGAGTGTGATGTGGACCTGGATGTCGGCTCCATCGCACTGCGGGTGCTCGGTGCCAACCCGTCAGCTGCCGGTGGGCTGGAGCTGACTGCCGGCCAGACAGCCACCCTCCGACATGGTGACAGTCTGCAGTTGCTGAGCGGCCGACACGAGTTTGTCGTGCAGTTCAGCCCGACGCCAGGCCGAGGCCAGTCGGAGGCTGGCAAGCGCAAGGAGTGTGAAGATGGGACCTCCGGAGAGAAGGACGGGTCCTCTCTAAAGCGGCCGCGCTCCGAGGCTACAGCAGAGGAGTCCTTTGAACCTAACATGATGGAGACCAAGGAGGAGGAGTGGACGTCGGCGGAAAACGATGGAATTCTCTTATTTATCACTAAAGGAGTGAAGCCGGCTGCCAGAGTAAGTCTCATCATAGTAATGTGGTGTAAACTTGGTACTACACCATGCTTAGCATCTATTCGTCGGACTCACACTAGGTTCTTATGCATGTCGCTGCCCAAACTGGGCACATAGACACTGTGCCACTTCTGTCCATCCATTTTCATTGCGGCCTGTACATGATCGGTTTTTATCTTCTAGATCGCCGCATTCGATATCGATGGTACTATTATCACTACAAAGTCTGGAAGAACTTTCGCGAAAGATCGAGACGACTGGCAAATCCTGTGCTCGGAGGTTCCGGGAAAGCTTAAGGAACTCGTCCATCGTGGCTTCAAGATCGTGTTTATCACGAATCAGGTAACATACACTGCAAGTTCATCTCCATTATTTCACTTGCCAGTCCTCTTATCATTTGTGTGGGCTCCTTCAGGTTCTAATGACACAGGCCAATCATTTTGTCTAGTCAGCGATTCAGATTTTACCGGCCACCTGTGGCGTAGAAACTACTGTGTTCTACATCAGTGTGCTATCTGTTGTGTGCTAACCTCAGATAATAACATCTGTCCCGTCTGCCTCCGCGTCTTTCTGTGCGCCTTATCAAATTTCATTAACGTTGTGAAGAGCTGTGGTGTTACAGATGGGCATCAGCAAGAACAAGCTGCAGCCGGAGGACCTGCGCGTGAAGCTGCGCAACATCACGGCCCGGCTGGGCGTGCCCGTCCAGTGTCTCATCTCGCCTGGCGACCGCTGGTTCCGCAAACCCCGGCCCGGCATGTGGGAGTACCTGACCACAAAGGTCCGCCTCCAGCAACAACCGCTGTCGCTGCTGTTGTCGTTACTCTCGGTCACCACTCGCGTTTCATTGCGGCTAAAGCACGGCTGCATAACATACATCTGTCTGTCGTTGGCCTTTCACGTGGTGCATTTCTCAATATTGTGTCATGCAGTCGCCCTCGTAAGGGCACCTCTCGTGCTCCTCCCGTGTCACCACCCTTGCGTGGTACAGCCCTATCCAGCTGTCGTTCATCTACTAACGTGGTGTGTTGCCTTCTGTCCTGCTATGCGGTCACTCTGACCCGGGCATTCCCGTCCCCACCGGATGCCCAAGGTGATGCTCCATTCAGGCTCACCATGTTTTGTCCGCTAAATTGTAAAAATCTTATGTAAAGGTCGAGTGAGCTTGCACCAAGACGAAGTGTGTTCTTTAGCGCCCCTTTTCACCACAGCGATACCAGCGATTTACCACAGTGCTGCGTCGCAGGGTAACGGCTCGTGCAAGGTCGACATGTCGGAGAGCTTCTATTGCGGAGACGCTGCTGGCCGTCTGGAGGGCTGGCAACCCAAGAGGAAGAAGGACTTCTCCTGCTCTGATCGGCTGTTTGCGCTGAACATCGGCCTCCGCTTCTGCACGCCCGAGGAGCTGTTTCTGGGTGAGCTGGAGGCGTGGGTAGCATGTGTTGCATCGTACTGTACGAAAATTGTCTGCTTCAATGAAAAAATTGGTACGTAAAATGCATTAAACATAATATGTTCCGACTCGTTCCGACCCGGCCGATCCGGTCTGACCACGACCGTGACGCCGACCCCGACCCCGACCCCGACCCCGACCCCGACCCCGACCCCGACCCCGACCCCGACCCCGACCCCGACCCCCGACCCCGACCCCCGACCCCGACCCCGACCCTGAACCGAACCGAACCGAACCGAACCGAACCGAACCGAACCGAACCGAGCCGAGCCGAACCGAACCGAACCGAATCGGACCAACGGAACGACCCGATCCGACCCGACCAGACCAGACCCGAACCGGGTGCCACGCCCCGGTCGTCATGCCGACAATACGCTAGTATCTGCCACCGCTGCTTGCAGGCTTATGCAGTTTTCAGTAACAAGAAGTGCAATTTTTGAAGTGTTCGTCATCTGCATGCACTGTGCAGGATTTTCCCACATCACGTCAACAGCATCGCAGTGCTATGTGCCCGGGAGATTGGTGCGTGGTTGACTGCCCGTGCCGCCCATGATGCGTGTGGCGGCTGCGCAGGACGCCCGGCCACGCCCAAATACCAGCTGCCTGCGTTCGACCCGCGAGCCGCCGTCGACGAAGGAAAGCGGATGGCTCCAGAGACCGCTGCCAGGGCGGAACAAGAGGTGAGGCGCTGCTGTTGAGGACAGAACCGGGGGCCAGCCACCGCCGGCCGCTTCGCCTCCTCTGTCATCGCTTGGCCCGAGCTTCGAGCATTGGTTGGCGATGAGTGGACAGCGGTGTGTGAAGTGGCAGCTGCAGTCTGCGTGGCGTGACGCCACATCGCCCGGCGCGTTGTGACGTCGCCGGTGTGACGTCACGCTGTCTGAGGGTGACGCGGTGCGGCGTCACCGGGTGTGCCGCGTCAAGATCCCGAACGGAGTGTCGAGCGCTGTCCGTCGGTCCGTGCGCGGCTCTGCTGTCCTGTGCGCGACGGTGGGTCCAGTTAGCCAGGACCTGCTCCTGTTACCAGTTGGCCCTCCCAGCCCGCTGGGTCGATAATGCCCAGGTCAGCCCCGTCTGCCATCGGCTCGCGCACCGGCCCCTCGCGACCGACCTCTGGGCGCACCGCGGCGCTGCTGTGGCACCCGCCAGTGCCGGCGGTTCGCCTCAGGTCACGTGACCGGCAGGTGGTCGTGCTGGTGGGGCCGCCCGGTTCTGGCAAGAGTCACGTGACCCGGCGTCAGCTGGTGCCGGCTGGCTACGTGCCGGCCAACAGAGACACGCTCAAGTCCTGGCAGAAGTGCGTCCAAGTGGTGGAGCAGGCTGTCAAGGTAGGGACAGAGAGATGCTCGGGTGGGCGCCCCGGCCCGGCGCTCGCGCTGGTGTCTCAGCCAGAGGGGCTCCACGCTGCTGGGGGGCTACAACCGACCGCCCCTGTCGAGGTCGTACACACGGTGGTGTTCCAGCCGGTATGTGCAGCCCTGGTTTGGAGGTTTGGTGCTAGTCGTTTCATCTTTTGGGACCAGCTGGCCTGAGGTTTACACATGAATGTTTTGATTCCTCAGCATGCTCCTGTTCATTCAGCTCGGACGTGACGGACATGCTTTCTACAGAGGCCTTGCCATGATTGGCCCGAAGGCTCCAAGACCAAACGGTTGGCAGGTGCTGTAGCTTATGGGGGCGACGAGCCTCTCAGCGCCGAGCCGGTCACCCGCGTCGGAGGCCGAGCTCGTAAAGTATCGCTGATCGTGTCTGCCTGTCGGTCGCCCGTGTCGGAGGCAGAGCCTGGAGAGTCCCGGTGATCGTGTCTGTCTGTCTGTCGCCCGTGTCGGAGGCCGAGCCCGTAGAGTCCTGGTGACCGTGTCTGTCTGTCTGTCTGTCTGTCACCCGTGTCAGAGGCCGAGCCCGTGGAGCCTCGCTGACCGTGTCTGTCTGTCTGTCACCCGCCTCGGAGGCCGAGCCCAGAGAGTCCCGGTGACCGTGTCTGTCTGTGTGTCACCCGTGACGGGGGCCGAGCCCGGAGAGTCCCGCTGACCGTGTCTGTCTGTCGGTCGGCCGGCAGGAGGGCAAGAGCGCTGCCGTCGACAACACGAACGGCGACCGGGAGAGTCGGCAGCGGTACGTGGCGCTGGGCCGGCGCCTGGGCGTACCGGTCCGATGCCTGCTGATGACCACCTCGCTGGCCCAGGCCAAGCACAACAACAAGGTAGCGACGTCGGGCCGCCCACTCGCGGCGCGATGTTATCTAACGGCGGCACGCGACATGAGTTTGCAAAGCGCGTGTTGTGTGGACGGCTTGGTGTCGTAGCTCTGGCCTCCATGCCGGGAGTCGTCACAGCCGGTTTGTACGTGGCCCGGGATTTGTGAACGTGCTGGGCTCTTGCGAGGTTCGGTGTGTTCTCGTCTCTCGCCCGAAATAGCGCCCTGACCCGACTTGTGTACCGGCCTGACCTGACCTTTGTACTGGCCTGACCTGACTTGTGTACCAGCCTGACCTGACCTGTGTTCTGGCCTGACCTGTGTACCGGCCTGACCTCTTCTGTGTCCTGGCCTGACCTGACCTGTGTACTGGCCTGACCGACCTGTGTTCTGGCCTGACTTGTGTACCGGCCTGACCTCTTCTGTGTCCTGGCCTGACCTGACCTGTGTACTGGCCTGACCGACCTGTGTCCTGGCCTGACCTAGCCTGTGTACCAGCCTGACCTGACCTGCATACAGGCCTGACCTGACCTGCATTCAGGCCTGACCTGACCTGCATTCAGGCCTGACCTGACCTGTGTACTGGCCTGACCGTAGCTTGGCGTCGGACCGTTTCAGTTTCGCGAGCTGACTGATCCCAGTCACCAGCACGTCACCGAAATGGTCTTCAACATGTTCAAGTAAGGCTCTGCATGTGCATTACGCCTTGATGAACGCCTTGATGTCAAAAACGACTATCAGATGTGTAGGCCCTCACCGTGCGGCCTGCTTAGATAGAAGTCCACGAGCAGACTAGGCGCAAAAAGATCGGGAACCCGAGAACGACAGAAAAGCGACGGCGATATGGGGACACTGATGCGTCTTTTTGCAGCTGGAATGGTCGGCTTGCGATTGGCCGTCATCAGGATATTACATACACAATGAGAAAGCAAGGCTATATTTAACAAACGTCGCTAGGTTACACGCATACATGGTTCAGACATCATGGTCTTGACTCGCACAACTGATCAAGCGAGCACAGCACTTGCCTGGACGCGGAACACAAAACAATGCATCAAGACACCTCCGATTTGGAATTCGTATAGGCTAGGAGAGGTCGCTGAACTAAATTTCCCTCATGAACCCGCTATGTATGACGCTATATGATCATTGTATTGTATGATTGCTTCTGATGATCCTATGATGATGGTCTGACTGGCTCTTGGACCGGCCAAATGTTATACTTAGTAGCTCTGGGCGGCATTCAGAAGCGCGGCCGAACAACATCCTGCGTAAGTGAAGAAGAGGTCTGGACGCGTGTCACCCAGACACGGTTGTCCACGCTCGTTCGGATGTCGCAGGTCCCGATACGAGGAGCCCACCGAGGACGAGGGCTTCTCGGAGGTGACCAGGCTCGCGTGCGTGCCGACGTTTGACGACCGGGAGCGGGAGCGGCTCTACCGGTTCTACCTGACCGAGAAGTGAGCGCTGGACGTCACACTGCTCGTCCCCGCCGGCTCTACCCGACCGGGAACGGGAGCGGCTCTACCGATTCTACCGGACCGAGAAGTGAGCGCCGAACTTCACACTGCTCGTCCCCGCCGGCTCTACCCGGCCGGGAACGGGATCGGCTCTACCAGTTCTACCTGACCGAGAAGTGAGCGCTGGACATCACACTGCTTGTCCCCGCCGGCTCTACCCGACCGGGAATTGGAGCGGCTCTACCGGTTCTACCCGACCGAGAAGTGCCGCGGCGTGTCGGTCGCCCTGCGCCGCTCCCGTCTGCCGCACTGGGCTGAGCTGCTGCCCTGCTGCGGCTGGGGCCGCTGCCGGCCGGTAAGGACGCTGACAGCTGGGAAGGGGCCTGCTCCAGCCCCGGTGCCATGCATACACGAATGCGGCGGCGCCGGCGGCGTGCGCCAATGACGTCACTGGACGCCCGCCGATGACGTTACTGGACGCTCGCCGATGGCGTCTGGACGCCTGCCGATGACGTCTGGACGCCTACCGATGACGTCTGGACGCCTACCGATGATGTCCGGACGCCTACCGATGACGTCTGGACGCGTACCGATGACGTCTGGACGCGTACCGATGACGTCTGGACGCCTACCGATGATGTCCGGACGCCTAACGATGGCGTCCGGACGCCTGCCGATGACGTCTGGACGCCTACCGATGACGTCTGGACGCCTGCTGATGACATTTGGACGTCAGCCGATGGCGTCACTGAACGCCTGCCAATGACGGCACTGAACGCCCGCCTATGACGTCACAGATGACATACGTGTCATGATTGGTGGATCAGTCTGATTTATTGTGTTCGATCGCGCCGGAGTGGTCCTGTTTTAAACTTAGCCGCGGTCTGACTTGTTTTTTTTCGGCTTGTGTCGTGCCTGGTTGTGATGCAGGTGATTCAACCCAAACTTTGCTGTTGTCTGTTGACATCGTTTGGCGCCGTGCGACTGTGATCGTGGATGAGCTTTTCATATGTTATAAAAAACGGTGCCGCGTCCAGCGCCTATTTGAGAACAAATATGCCAATAAAACGTGCATAGAAACGCCTCTACCAGCGCAGTTTGCCAGCGCGGGTTTGATTGGTTCACGGATCGGCAGCCAGAGTCTGACTGGACTGCACGTGGTTTGGCTGGTCAGGGGTGCTGCCCGCAGTACGCTCGGGTCCAGTCTCGGGGGAGGGACAGGCCCTGTCCCAGCAGGTTGGAGGGGCTGATCTCAGTCCCGACTGGCTGGAGCTGCTGATCTCAGTCCCGACTGGCTGGAGCTGCTGACCTCAGTCCCGACTGGCTGGAGCTGCTGACCTCAGTCCCGACTGGCTGGAGTGGGTGACCTCAGTCCCGACTGGCTGGAGTGGGTGACCTCAGTCCCGACCGGCTGGAGCTGCTGACCTCAGTCCCGACTGGCTGGAGCTGCTGACCTCAGTCCCGACCGGCTGGAGTGGCTGACCTCTCCCGACAGGCTGGAGCTGCTGACCTTTGCTGATTTTCTGCTGCGCCGTAATTGAACTGGTCTTCTTCGCGTCATCTTTGTGCTAACCATTGTGCAAACATGACTTTTTTACTGAAGTCAGCTTAGACCTTCAGAATCCAGCTCGCCATAAACTAAACGAGGATGGTAGTTGGTAGTAGGAACACCGACCGCATGATAATCAGGCGCCTCTTCGCATCCGCCGAAACAGAAAGGTGGTATAATTGGCTTTGTGACCTCAAACAAACAAAAAAGAAAAACGAAAAAAGAGGCTAGTTTAAGTGGACGAGCGCCGTAGGTGTGCTGACGTTTTATAGTGTCCTAGGTTATAGCGCATCGTTGTCATCAAAACTTGTGACGCATCTGTGTTGAGAACAGGACGCATTGTAATACGTTCTGGTGGTCAACACAGGTCAACTAACCCATCCTCCCTTTGACCTGGATAATCAGCACCCCAGACTGAATTAAATCATAACTGCGTCCTCCACGTCTATCGCACCCCTTGGCACCAGTACCCCCTCCCCAACCTCTGCAAGAGTGACCCTCTCCCGTCCAAGCTCCTGGACGCGCCGGTGGCGGCAGCCGAGATCAGTTGCGATCTAATAAATCATTCATACACCCAGCCGAGATCTACTTGCGTCAACTTCTGCATCTTATTGCGATCCCGACGTCAGTACCGCAGCTGATTGGATTGCCCTTAAACGGACAACAAGCCGATGCCGCCACGATCGCCCGGGGGTGCCCATGCCGTCAGCCGAGCCCAACGGACGCTTTATGAATAGCTGTCCTCGCGTTACGGCTGGGAAAAAAGACAGCTTCCTCAATGCGTTCGAAAGGTGGAGTGCACCGAGGAACGTGCACTCATAGTGGTGTCTTATCGGAGATTTACTGGCGAGTCCACGATCAAACGTAAGCTTGGCTCCCTGACAGTTTGGATATTGGTTGTGACAGTCATGCATTCAATCATTCATGCATTGCTTACGGCCTCCGCATGGTGCGGCCTTCGGGTCATGTGTTGGTGCACAACTCATATTGGAATACGTACGGCGTGCAAGACAAGACAGATGGTGCAACAATGAGGTGTCTTTCGTCACTTAGCTGCAGCATTTCGCCAATCCACTCCGCATTCTGCCCCTGTACACAAACCGTTGGCGTGCCTCTTTGTCTTCTACTGAGGTTTTATTGAAGGTGTCAGTGAACGCAAATTCTACAATAAGAAACAAATTTGCTAGTCCGCTAACAAAATACAAAAAAAAGTGCAATGCCCCGTTGCAATGCCTGGCAGCTGGAGTGGTCTATCCTGCGACTGGCGTGTCTCGGATGTTTCTCCTCCTTCTGGATCGTTCACGGAGCGAGGCAGGTGCGTGAAAACTATGCACTAAGAAATATCTGTAATACGATGCAACTTTTAATATTGATTGAAAGCACTAAGCAATACACCATCGCGCTATTTCCTTCCATAATACGCCAGTCTAAGGTGAGCCATTTCAAGTATCTTCAGTTTTGTCTTGTGTTTCAGTTTTGTGTTGCGTTAAGTTTTGTTGTCATCAGATCGACAGGAACATTTAACAATCCTGGTGGTGTGGTTTATTATTATTGGGTTCACTTGCGTTGCGCTGCTATACATCCGTTCCACGCTGTGATGCACGTGTAGGAGAAAACAATGACTTTCATTGTATGTTTTTGACTTCTTCGGGTGGGAATGGACTAGAGGGCAGTGTCTGCTCGATATCTGAGTGTGATGAATCTCAGCGGAGTTGTTTTGGCCTTCGATGACAATGCATGGTTACCATTTGCCACACCGTGCCATTCGACCATCGACTCATGAGACAGGACGGTGATCAGTTTATACTGTGTGTGTGTGCGTGCGTGCGTGCGTGCGTGCGTGCGTGCGTGCGTGCGTGCGTGTGTGCGTGCGTGCGTGCGTGCGTGCATGTGTGTGTGTGTGTGTGTGTGTGTGTGTGTGTGTGTGTGTGTGTGTGTGTGTGTGTGTGTGTGTGTGTGTGTGTGTGTGTGTGTGTGTGTGTGTGTGTGTGTGTGTGTGTGTGTGTGTGTGTGTGATTCAGTGCGTTGGTTTTTGAATGACTGCCTTTTTTCTCACGACCTTTTAGCCGTCCGCGTGTCTGTCGGCGACAGGTAATGACGACCCGGAATTTATTCGTGATTGTCGAAATACAAGTCAATCAATCACCACTCGTGTTATTGATACAAAATAGTCTAAAACATTATTTTCACCAGCATTGCATTACGGCTGACTGTTGTCACTGCTGCGGACGTCGCCCCGCTTGTAGCGCTCACCTCCGGTGGCAGTTTGCTCGCTCGGCTGCCCTGCTCCGGTCCGGCCCTCCCGTCTTCTCGCCCTGGCGCCGCCCGCGCTCCGGCTGCCATTTTTCGGCATCCTCGCACGCCGGGATGCCTCCCAAATGATGCGTCCTCTTTGTTTTATCCGGCCTGGACATGGTTTGTCCATTAAACGGCTGCTGGTCGGGCTTATCGGTCGAATAAATTACCGACTGTCCGTGCCGGTCGGGCGGCCGGGCGGCCGGGCGAGCGCCGCTCGCACCTCGGCCCGCGGTACCCCTCTGCGCCCGGCCGGCGCCGCCACGGCCGGAAGCTGGGCGCGTCAGCGCAGCGGCACCGCTGTCCTCCTCCTCCCCCCCCCCCCCTGCCCCCAGCTCGCCTAGCTCGGCTAAGTTGTACTGCAACTGGGACCACGTGCGGGACTGCGCGTGCTTTGGTGATGCAGCTGCAGATGTATATCCAACCCGAAAATAGGCACCTCCATTGGAGCCAGTGCATCCCCAACACTTGGCACGCTTAGTACACGCAGATTGGACAGAAATGATCAGGCGAGATGTGGCAGGAATTTTCATTTCATTCAAAACCACTGCATCGTGACTGAGTGCCCCGACCGTGTGAGAGAAGTCGTGGGGTTCTATCCTTCGTGGGTTCGATCCTCTTGGCCAAACGTTTGGCTGGCTGTCGCCACAATGGGCCGAAACATCGTTGCTAACCGACCATAGATGTCGATGCTGTCATTACGACTTTGCGACACAATCAGTTGCTGAGATTATGTGGCGCTGGCTGCCTCTCACCCCGTCGGGAAGAGTGGGCATCGCGGGGGAATGAACCTCGCACCTCTGCTTTCACAGGCGAGCGGCCCGCACTCGACTTGCGGTTGAATTGAGAGGTTGAATGCATCGATATACTCCATTCACAGACAATCAGATCAGCTTAAAACCAAAAATTGGCACATTCCTAGTAAATAAGCTGGTGTAAAATAAGTCCCTTAATTGAGGTACCGAGGAACAGACCACAGACGCAGATATTTCATGTTTCTATGGTATTTTCCCCCTGTTCTTGAAAGGCAAAGAGTTGTGCAGACAACGTACTTTTGGCGTGCTGGATGTGATGTACTTTCTCAAGCCATCACGACAGAGAAGTTAGTGTTCGCTTCCCTATCCGACATGGTGCACTGACAAGATAAAAACTCCGTCAAGACAACTTCGCACTTTATAAACATTTATATCTGCATTCAAATGCGGGCCACCACGATGTGGCCCAAATTCATGCCACTAGTGGTCGATATGTTAATTGTTACTCATCATCACCATTATGGCCTACCATTTAATCTATAAGATCATAGCGAAGGCCACAACTTTGGTGAAGGTGTGCGAAAATGCGTTAGAGCATCGTACCACGGCTCCTGGTGGTATCTGTATCATCATTTTCATAATTACTCGGTAGGCTGCCACTTGGAACTCTTGGACCTCTTGGAAGAAAAAAATAAAACGTTGCACGTGTACACCCACAAAAACGGAGGCTAGCTACGCAGTGAGGTAGCAGACCCGCCAAAATGGAGTGTAGCTGCGCACAGGGCTCGTACACCCTCCAAAACGGAGGGTGGCTACCCAGCGGGACTTAAACAGCCTCCAAAGTGAGCTACGTAATGATGGACAGAATCCTGTCCGTGGTGTCCACCCGGTCACCACAGAGCATGCACTAGTTTAAAGTCACTAAGGCACTGATCAGCGTGAACGCTGCCCGCATGAGTGCAGATATTGTCCTTTCCTGGTAGGCTGATGCCTTTGCAAGGAGTGTCAGAAAGATGAATTATGCATCAATAGGCCGCTCATTTCAAGCTTTCTTTCAAGCTTACCATACGATCCCCAGTCTTCAGCTCCTATGTAGGTTACACTTCTGAAGTTAACGGCACACAACAAAAAGAAACGCTAAATCACAAATCCAGCTATGAACGTCGCAAAAAGAGCGTTAATGAGTCGTAGGTGAGAGCCCAAGCTCGCAGAATCAAGCTGTAAAAGGTATTTTCGGATATTCTAAGCAGCCCTGACGTTACAGAACACTATAACATGCACAAAATTCACCCATTTTACGACCAAGCTGCAGCAGCCTTCTTGCAGTTTCATTGCAGTAAAGCAGGCGTGGTTCGAGTTTCATCAAACTTCTCGCCGACAGCGATGCTTATCAGCAACTGCCCAGCCCTCTGGTGGCTGAAAAGGTCGGAGAGGGGTAGACAAGTATTCTCCGATTATTTGGAGCGACAATGATGTGATGACAAGCGGATGCATTAGAGCCAGGCGCTCGCTGTTTACGCAGTGGGTGTGTAAATCATCTCAGATTTTCGCGCAGAAAAATTATCTGTGACTTTATTTGCATCCAGCCTCTCGTTTGAATAGACTCAGTCATCACATGCCCACATTTTTACACTGGAAGATCCGCGTCTAAGGCGGACGCCGCACTCCGCCAAAGTTCCGTTTGGTGCATGTCTTCAACAGACTTGAAAATCTTTCAAATGGACGAGCACTATGTGACGAAAAGCACACAACATCGCTTTTAAAATGGTTTGAACATTTTCACTTATCCTTTCAACCAGGTGTTCGGAACTACGCGATTATTTTCCCCACTTTCAGGACGCGGGTCATGGGAATGTCTGGTCCCAACCGGAAATAAGAGGACACCAGGGGCACAGAACGAGGCCACAGACAGTTCAGAGACGCAAAAGAGACTTAACAAATTCCAGGGTACCCGAGATGGGCTGGTGTTTCAAAACCTGATGGGTAGAACGGTAAGAAGCAAACCATCGTCATTTAAAAACCACTAACCGAAGCAAATAGTTCTGCAGACGCCCGGGCGTCCAGGATGATCAGGATGTCCTTTGACACAGAAGAACAGAACAAAGAACACCCAGAACTCGACAACATGAAAACCTCCAGCTCCTGGCCAGCCTGCGGCTATCTGGTTTAGTGTGGATTGCAGTGCCCCAAGACTGGCAAGACTGGCCTTGGCAAGAGGTAAAGTGATGACCTCCGATCACTCCTGTCAGCGCGGCTGTGGTCGCGAGCATGTGAAATGCTTTGGTAAAAATGTTCAGATTAAAAATGTTGCATTTTTACATAAAAATGTAAACGTTATTGGGTAATTGGTTATTCTGTTTCGGTTTTCTACGAAGCCTCTCGCAATCAGCCGGGATGGTTTATACTTCTCGGCATCGTTGTCCGCCGTCGGTTCCGAAAAGTTCCGAAAAAATCGGATTTTTGGAATGATGGAAAACACCATAGGGAAAGTCGACAAGCGACTAAAAGTCTGTTTGTACAGTTTCGACGACAGCGTGTTCCATTTTTTCGTAATGACAACGTTCCCCGGTTTCCCGACGAGTGCTGGCGTAGCCATGCGACGCACAAATTCGTGCTGACTCATGAATTACGAGCGGTACGTTGAGCGGCACTTTGGAATTGGATGCGAGCCTTTACCCGCCCTAGCTGCCGAGAATTGGTATAAAACGTGAACCCCGTAAAGATTCGGAAAATCCATCTTGGCCGTTTCTGAGTAATTATCTACCGAGGCGTGCCAATTTCTTGTTGCTCCGACCCCTCGCTACCAAGATGTGCCACGGTTTCGAACGGCTGCTCGTCGGCTTTGTGATAAGCTACATTTTTAGGCCACCCGTGCGGCACGTGCCACGCCTGAACCTCGGACCGCAGCGGACCGTGAGCTACATGTGGAAAGCCGCCTTATGCGCCCGTGCGTTGTATTCAAATCTTAATACACCTTTCAGTAACCCGCCGTTCGGCCCGGGCACGACGCAATGCAAAATGGGACAGTCAGACACACAGACAAGCGGGCGCTCTCCCAGAAAATATTATATAGACAAGAGCTCACGGGTGCACTTCACTAAGAGACGAGCACTGCTGACTCATTTAATGGCCATGAGCTGACTCATTCAAAACGCATCTGGAGGCCTGTTGCATTCTGTAGACGATTTGTGTTACATTCAACATCATCAATAGAGCTCCCTGTTTGATCCGATCTCTGGCCGCTGACATACCTGGGGGAACTGGATGAGGTGTGCTGACTACCAGGGACATATGTGAGTCATGGCAAACAAACGTTGTATGTAATCCAGTGAGTTTGTGCAGCGACGCGGCGTGAATCGCGTACAACCTTGACGGAAATCGGTCAATGAATGAATCGCTGCGCGTGGTGATGTAAGTTTCATCAAGATCATGGCCACAGTTTAAACGACAGCCGGTTATTTTCGGCGCCGCTTTTCCTTCGTTTCCGGCTTACGCAACAGCTACTGGTGCAACCGTGCGTTGCACAAAGTCGTATTGGCCTCATGGCTTGCAGACAGTACGTTGCTCGACGCTTTGGAATTGGATTCGCGCCCCTACCCGATCTGGCGTCCAAGAGATGGCATAAAACGTGAAAAAATGTTCGTGCAAGGCCAATGGCCCAAAACTGTGCCTTCCAGAACATGCCGAGCCCGAACCCGGGCCCCAGCGGCCCACGCGGTTCCTTTGCAATACTGCCTCGTGCACCCGAGCGTCGTTTTCAGTTTCACCATTCAGCGGCCCGCCGTTCGGGCCGGGCACAACGCAATGCAAAATGGGACAGACCGACAGACAGACAGACAGACAGACAGATTGACAGACGCAACCTAGCAAATAGTGTATGGCCAAGCGGTACCCGCTTGCTCTACTGCGTTGCTCGCGCCGGTTGCGCATGCTCTTAGAAGTGCGGGCTAAAACGCATTGCAAGTAGGGTTTGTCTGTCAAACACCAGCAACACCACTGCACGCCACGCCACCGCTATCCCTGTGAAGCGTCACACCACACCACTGTACTCCCTGTAAAGCGTCACACCACGCCAACGTAGTCCCTGTAAAGCGTCACACCACGCCAACGTAGTCCCTGTAAAGCGTCACACCACGCCAACGTAGTCCCTGTAAGGCGTCACACCACGCCAACGTAGTCCCTGTAAGGCGTCACATTCGCTGCTCTGTCTCATCATCTATAAATGAAAACAAACCTTTAAAATGCTCGCACGCGCTTCTTCCGTGACCACACGGAGTCTTGTTATTCATCAGCACAAGGTACAGTTTAAATGCCTCAGCTACTTTTGTATATGTAGCGCAAATAACGTGCGTCCCAAAAGCGGGATTATTCAGTTCACTTTAGTTCCAACTGTCGCGACATGGTTTCAGTCCAGTGATCTGGTTCTCCTCGCCTCCCCCTCCATGTTGGATTTCATCACCACGAAACCCGCGAACATGCGCCCCTTTTCGCACGCTGTCACGGGCTGTCAGCGACGTCAGAGCGGCGCGAGATTGTGCCACGGAGCGTCACAAAGGTTGTACTCGTGGTGTGCGCAAGTGCCACTGCCATCGGGTTAGCCGTCCGGCCTGTGTGTCTCGCGGATAAACCTGAACATACAGATAAAAAAAAATGTCTATATATGTATGCTACTAATTGAGTTGCTTGGATGCCGCTGGACTTCCGGTACTGCTGCGTGGAAAGGGCACAGACGTGGTTGTCAATGCCGATTATCCCGCTTCGACCTGGGTCAAAGATTTCCAGCGCCAGCCATTTAAACTGTATTCTTAACGCTGGACGAGCAGCTGCGACACCGAACCACGCCCAGGTGGGATCTGGCGCGCCCCGATAGAGAAACGCCAGGCTAGAGCACCGCGCTGCACCACCAGTGGCGCCCTTCAGGAGTCTGGGGCTGGGGGAGGCCTACCGAGGCAACAGCAGAGAGTCTGAAGTTGGGAGAGAACAGCTGAGGCAGCGGTTGAGAGTCAAGAGGTGAAGGAGACCAGCTGAGGCAACGGAAGAGAGTCTGGAGGTGGAAGAGAGCAGCTGGGGCAGCGGTAGGGAGTCTGAAGGTGGGGGAGGGCGGCTGAGGCAGCGGTAGAGAGTCTGGAGATGGAGGAGGGCAGCTGAGGCAGCGGCTGAGGGTCTGGAGGTGGAGGAGGGCAGCTGAGGCAGCGGTAGAGAGTCTGAAGTTGAAAGAGACCAGCTGAGGCAGCGTTAGAGAGAGTTTGGGGCTAGAGAAGGTCAGCTGAGGCAGAGGCAGAGAATCTGTGGTTGAAAGAGGCCAGCTGAGGGAGCGGCAGAGAATCTAAAGCTGGAGGGAGCTAGCTGGGGCAGCGGTAGGGACTGCCGACTCGCCCTAGGATGAGGGGTGGAGGCGAGGTTGGTGCCGCACAGGCAACGGGAGCACACAAAGATGGCCAACAGGGCGTGCGAAAGCTGGGTGGTGGCGGTGTGAGCATCGACAGCACTGATCATTTCAGAATGCCGCAATTATGCAGGTGGGGCAGAGCGATGGGCGCTAGCCAACATTTGGCGCATTGTCGGAACGGCGCCCTTGGTGAGCCGTTCTGATACTACGTCATACAAAACGCACATTATATCAAGCGAACAAGTCATGAACACTGTCCCATGCCTGGTGCCTATCCAAGTATGCGCGGCTGGAGATGAACCATCGGAAGCTGAAACTAAGACAGTGGTTGAGGCTGGCGCGGAATCCCTCCTGAATGACAGCGCCGTGACAGCCTGCCACACAACATACAGCGCCGTGACAGCCTGCCACACAACAACATACATTCAACCTTAGATTCTCCAGTGCCAGGGCTACGTCGCCAAAGCCACTTCCCGTTCCAACTTTGCCCCCCCCCCCCGCGCTCACAGCTTAAGTGCTGTGGGGATATACCGTCAGAGAGGGAACTTCACAGGCGCCATGGGCGCCACGAACTCATTGGCACAAAACGCAAGCCCAAAACTCGACAGAATACACCACACACCCGACCGTTTTGAACTAAAAACAATGTCAACAAACGCTTAAGCGGTAAACGTATGGATCGTACACAGTGAACCCTACTGCACTGCCGCACACGGTGTGCCATATCACAGATGTCACGGGAGGAGCCGCCGCCAGACGCACTGCCGACAGCGCGGCCATATCACGTGCGGGGCGCGGCAGTGCCACGCCCCTAGCCCAGCTTTGGCATTCTCGGACCCGCCGGCACGTCGACCTGGCTTGACCCCGCAGGCGCGGTCACACTGGGTCGACCTCCAGAGGGCCTCGCAGTTCGCCAGAGTCCTGCTCCCTGCGCTCTGCAACAAACACAAGGAGAGTTGAGAGTTCAGACGACCGGCATGGGAAAGAGTGGAATAATCGCAGACTTGGGGTAATGCTGGAGATGATGTCGAGAGAACTTTACATTGGATGCAGTCGGCTGATATTAGTTTGAATTCTCTTCAGCTGGTTGTATGGCTTATGAGAGATCAATGGCCGCTTTCCACCTCCGTTACTCCAATAGCTTGTAAAGTCATTCAGGGTGATTTGGCTGTTGTGGCTGCGCGTTGAAGTATTTTGAAGAATGCATTGCGCGGTCCTGGTGCAACACTTCGCCGTTTAACAGACACGGTACGCATTTATACTCAAAGCTTGAGTGGTCGATTGTGCGTTGATAGAACTGTCGGAGTTGGTAGTGCGTTCCTTTGGCTTTCCGGGAGCCCACCCCCCCAAAAAAAACCTTCCAAACCGACCCTAACGACGCTAGAGATGGCCCACTAAGCCGGTGTTACTCCCCTGTTGGGTCATGATGAGCCCTTTAAAGGCGCAGTCCAAGGTTAATCACACGTCAAGTGGGGGATGAACAATGGTTTAATAGTAAGGAAATAGCAAATATAAGTCATTGAGAATGCAGGCAACCACATGTTTATGCTCCATGTCAAGCAGTCAACGCTATCTGTCTCCAGCACCAGAGTGACCAAGTGTGCGCGGTTCCGAGCGCTACACCAAACGGGACCGTGTATCCGGTACACCGAGCGGGACCGTGCATCCGGTACACCAAACGGGACCGTGTCTCCGGCGCCGAGCGACTGTGGTCCCCGCGCGCCCGTGTCCGGTGTTGGGCGTTGGTCTGCAGACACGGCCACGCGGTCTGAGCCGGCTGTGACAGCTGCCCTCTATCCGTGTCGATCTAACAAAGTAATTGGCAGGATCCACCGGCCGCGACACCCGTCCGGCCGGAGATTAGTCGGGATCGCCCTGCGCCCGCCTCACCCGTGCATTCAGGTGAACAGTACCGCGTGCGGTCCTTATCCGACTGAACGGACTGGCTGTGGTCCAGATCCAGGTGAACGGGTCCGCCTGTGGTTCATATCCAGGTGAACGAACCCACATGGCTGTCTGCATCAAAGCGAACAGGTCCGCGTGTTGACCGTGCCCAGTAAGTGAACTCACCGGCGCGAAGTGCGTGTGCAGGGGAACTGGCATGCGTATGGTCAGGTTCCCCAGTGACGTCATCCGCGTTCAGTCTGCGTTCAAGTGAATCGACAATCAATGGGCCGTATCCGCGTGGACTGACCCGGATGTGGTCCTTCCAGTGAAATGATCTGCTTGTGCTCGGTGTCCAAGACAACCGACCGCGTGGGCAGCGCGTGTGGACAACCGACCGCATGTGGTCCGTATCTAATTACAGTGGTGCTTGTGTGGTCTCTATTCAGGTGTTTCGCTTCGTTTAGTTTTTGTGGTTCGGGTTTCCCAATACCTTCAGATTATAACGCCAGGCATACAGCGCTGAGTATCAACGGCGGAGCCATGGAGTTCGGCAATGGAGAAGGCCGCGGGGGGGGGGGGAGTCGGGCTCCGAGTGAGCTTGGTAGTCTCATAAATCGAGCTAATGGCTGGTGCTCTGTTAAAGTTCACAGTTCTCTACCTTTCGTAAACTTAAATGTATCATCGGATAATGCGATAGAGAAGACTTGCCAGGCAGAGTCCGCGGGGGCCGGCGCCGAGAGCTCTCATCCGAGGTCTGCCGGTGCCGGGAGCTCTCACCTGAGGTACGGGGTGCCGGGGTGATCTGCAGGTGCCGGGACGGTGTAACCTGGTGAAGTCCGGCGCCGGGCCGGCTCTCACCCTCCCCTTCAAACCGGTGACAGTCAGAGCCCACCGGAACCGGCCCCGAGAGCTCTTACCTGAAGTCTGCCGGCCCTGAGAGCTCTCACCTGAAATCCGCCGGTGCCGGGAGCTCTCACCTGAGATCCGCCGGTGCCGGGAGCTCTCACCCGAGATCCACCGGTGCCGGGAGCTCTCACTTGAGAGCCGCCGGTGCCGGGAGCTCTCACTTGAGATCCGTCGGTGCCGGGAGCTCTCACTTGAGATCCGCCGGTGCCGGGAGCTCTCACCTGAGGTCCGCTGGTGCCAAGAGCTCTCACTTGAGATCCGCCAGTGCCGAGAGCTCTCACCTGAGGTCCGCCGGTGCCAAGAGCTCTCACCTGAGATCCGCCGGTGCCGAGAGCTCTCACCTGAAGTCTGCCGGCCCTGAGAGCTCTCACCTGAGATCCGCCGGTGCCGAGAGCTCTCACCTGAAGTCTGCCGGCCCTGAGAGCTCTCACCTGAGATCCGCCGGTGCCGAGAGCTCTCACCTGAGGTCCACCTGTGCCGGGAGCTCTCACCTGAGGTCCGCTGGTGCCAAGAGCTCTCACCTGAAGTCCGCCGGAGCCGGGAGCTCTCACCTGAGGTTTGCCGGTGCCGGGGCGGTGTGACCTTGTTAAGTCCGGCGCCGGGCCGGCTCTCCCCTCCCCCTCAGACCGGTGCCACGCAGCCAGGGGTCGCGCCGCCGCCTGAACCACCGCTGTAACACAGAGCCGGCCCGCGTCAGTGAGGCGGATGCAAAGTTGGAACCGCTGGTTTGGCTACGTGTTCATATTGGGGGAATATCGAAGCTTTTGCGGCGCGTCTGTCTATGCGACACCATGGGTTATGCGACAAAGTTAAAAAGACAAAGATTAAAGGACAGGAAGTAAAATGGCAAAAAGGCAAAGGGGATAAAATTCACATGGAGAAGTGAAAACGTAAAAAAATCATAACTGATTCATGTCAAATGCATAAGAGCCAAAAAGACAAAAAGTCAAGAGGATAAAAAGCAAAAATATATAACCGATAGGCAAAAGATCAATCTTAGTAAAATCCAAAGGAAATGGAAGTCAAATGGAAAAAGGCTCGAGGAAACACACCTGCCCCGGCCCGAAGCTCTGGACTTCATTCGGCTAACAAATCCATTAAGGGCCCTGATCACTTCTTTCTCAAGAGAGCGGGGGAATAGTTCTAGATCTGAAGTTTCACAAGATATGTGCAACTGCAAAATTTCAGTTTGGGTAAAACGGCCTACCCAAAAAGGGACGGCAAATGCACGTCCTTGTCCCCTGGCTGGCAGGTAGGGGACAACCACCCCCTCCCGCCCCCTCTTCGTGCTGCGCCGCCCCCGATTCGGCCTACAACAAAAGTGGCTCTTTCGTCACTAATTGCCTGTAAGTTTGCTGACATATAAAAAAGTCACAGCCATCAAAGTGAATGGGGTGAAATGTCTCGTGGCAGGGCGGAGGGCGTGGAGTGCCCCGGTTTTGTCCGAAGGGAGCCACGTTCGGTCGGCTGCTTCAGGACCCCGGGGCCTATTCCATTTAAAAATGTTATTGGCGTTTTGTTCAGTTGACTTCTTGCATTTTGCTTGCATCCCCTAGAAATGCATTCCCTTAAGCTCCTTTTTCAGGCTGGCTTTTGTCCCGATCTTTATCCTTGTCGAGCATTGGAGTTATCGTGTCTGTTAACGACAGTAGAATAAGATGGGTAGCAGGATACAATGCATATGAAAAAAGGCCCGCTCGGAACATAGAGATCTAGCCAAGGTACCCGGCGCACTGAATCTTGTCATTCTCTCCCAGCCTGTAGATGATGGCCATTGCTTGCATTAAACGGTCAGGCAGTTGGGTAAGCCACGAGGCAAGGCCTACGCAATCCGAGGTCGTTTCCTTTCCTTCGAGGCTCATTTTGCGGTTTGCATGCTGGCCTCCTGGCACCCATCATTTGCATGCGCATCGTAGTTTGCACTCTGCAGAGCGTCTGATGGCATTGGCACCCAATCCTACCAAAATTATCATAATTCTGATGAGGGCAATCACCATAAAGCGCCATTGGCTTCGTGATGCATCGAGGCCCACTCCAGGTTCGCCTTCTCTGTCCTGGCAACAGTTATGCGACCCAGTGCACGTTCCACGTGAAGCCGCGGTTTGGGTGCTGTTCTGGCGCCCAGGTGTGCATTAAAAGCGGTGATGTTTGAGCATCGATGGTCGGAGCAGGTTTCGTCCAGTAATCTTCCAGTCGGCGATGTTTTCCATGAACCAAACTGCTGGTTGCGCCCCTCCCATGTGAATGCCTGAGTGGCATGACTTGCTTTTCCTTCGAGTAAACTGTGCAAGAGTTATGAACTTCTGAGGATGACTTGCTTCTGGTTATGGTTGTCTGTTGCACAAAAAATGTCCGAGAAGCAGTTGATGTTGCCGATCGCTACAGCCGTACCATGAATGTGCAGCTGGTCTCTGCAGGGTTAGTCAATTTGTGATGACCTAGTGATGACCTGGCTCTTAAAACTTCGCCTCGTACAGCTCTGCGGACCGACAGCTACGCATGCGCAGCTGGACGCCATCAGCCGAGACAGCTTCCGTCATCGGAGGGGAACGGTTGAGCTGCGCACAGTTGTTTGCTCGGATGTGGCGCGATAAAGCTGGAGGTTACTGAAAAGAGCCTCTGCAGTGTCGACGAATTTTATCGATAGTGGCTAATGTAGTACGCAGTAAGCATAAACAATGTATGTGATTCATGCGCAAAACTTCGCACGCGTATGCTTGCATACTAGCTCAGTTTGCGCAACTGAGCCGATGTATCCATGACACCCTGTAGCCGACCAATGCCGCTGTCACTCAACAATAACCCGGGAGGCTGATCTTCAGCATGGATAAAAAAATCACCAAAATGTTTTTCTTGAACAGGACATAGTTTATGAAGTTCGGTGTTTATGTGTATTAGAGGTGTAGTTTCGTCGCAGTTACGTCTCCGCAAATTACACAACTGCTTAGCCATTAGCGTACAACCTGCCAAGAGTTCGGCGAGACGAAATCAGAGTTTTTTGGGGATGATTTCACATACCAGAGTAAGCCGCCACAAGAAATATGCCATGGTGCGCATGAATGAATGAAGTATGAGGCGCGGATATCGTCGTCAGATATTCTGAGCCACTTTAGAATGCTCCCAAAGGCGATACAAGTTCCACCAGCCGGCTATTGCCACGGGTTGAGTGAAACGAGCGGTCACGTTGATAAAACCATTAAAGATCGGCTTTCTACGAAGAGCAAAGGCACGCTCGCCGGCGGACGCTCGCGGACCGTCGCCAGCTCGCGTCACGTCTTGATGTGGTGGAGTAAAGGTTTGAAATAACACTCAGGTGGCGAGGCGCGGATACAGGTACGCAGATACAGGTACGCTACATACAGGTACAGATACAGGTACGCTGAAAGAACGTCCGCCCAGTGAATATCACCAATCTGAAACGAGCAGTAAAACTCCAGCATCGTCCAGCAGTACACGCCCAAAACGGAGCTGTTTTACACGTCAGAGTCTGGCAGCAGTCGACATGTCAGAGTCTGGCAGCAGTCGACATGTCAGAGTCTGGCAGCAGTCGACATGTCAGAGTCTGGCAGCAGTCGACATGTCAGAGTCTGGCAGCAGTCGACGTGCCAGAGTCTGGCAGCAGTCGACGCGCCCTTAAGCGGCTTCAATCCGGAGCTGCTACAGGTCTCATGCGGGTTCTGTTGACAGACTGGCAGCGCACCAGGAAAGGTGAAGTTGTAACCTTCCGTAGAGAAGAAAAAATAGCTGCAAAATGATGTGTGTCAAAGGGAATGTTTCGCGTTTGAAGACAGTGAAGCAAGCATCAGATATAAAAGAAGCTCACTTCTAACTGTTGGTGCACTTTTAAGTAGAAAAACTGCCCTAGACAACACAATTTATCTGTTCAGTAAGCCTGCTCCTCGATACGCCATTGTTTGGTTCCGTCATTGCACCTTGAACACATTGATTGAGAGCCAACCGACGGCCGTTATATCTGGAAATTTTGCGCACGATCGCCAGATATGAACGGCTCAAACATGACGTTATTATATTTTTCTCAGTCTTGAGCGCCGCATTGCTTGTGGAATGGTAAGACTTCAATGACATTATTATGACGTCATGAATGCCAAGGTGACCTGAAAATACTCTCTCCGAAAACTCTTCCCATTTACAACCGGCGTGTAGCTAAAAAAACTTGAGGGATTGAGGTCTTATGAAGCACAGGGCTGTGAACTGCCCCGAAAGATCGCTAAGACGACATTTCAGTTCAAAACTCCATATAAATGTGGAGCACTCCCTTTAGCTAGCTGTTTCTGGTGATAAGCTAATGGATAATTGAACCCCAGAATGGTAAGGCACGCTCATTTGAAACGCCTTGCAATCCATTTTTCACGATTTTATTTTTATTTTTCTAAATCCACTCAAAATCATCAGGCAATTCAGCGGCCGGTCACCGGTTACCGGTCATCGGCCGCCGGTTATTCACCATCGGCCATCGGCTATCAGTCGCCTGCCGCTTGTCACCACTCAATAACTGCCGGTCACTGGTCACCAGCCGCTAGTCACCAGTCACCAGCTGTGGTCACCAGTCACCATTCGCCGGCCGCCGTTCAACAGTCACCGACTGCCAGTCATCAGTCACTCGCCGCTAGTCACCAGGCACCAGCCACCGGCCGCCGTTCCACAGTCGCCGGCTGTCAGTCACCAGTTACCAGCCGCCGGTCACCGGCTGCGGGTGGTGATCCGAGCCATACCATCAGCGTGCGCTCGGCCGGACTGGTGACGATGCTGTATCTGGTGGCCCACGTCCAGGACAATGCAATGCCGGCCAGCGCTGGGCGGCGCCACCACTACCGCTGCCGCATCGTGCAGGATGTCGGCAGCGAACCCGACCAAGACGTGAGCTTCAGACCGGACCAGAGGTCAGCGACGGACCGGACCAGAGGTCAGCGACGGACCGGACCAGAGGTCAGTGGCGGACCGGACCAGAGGTAAGCGACGGACAGGACCAGAGGTCAGCGACGGACCGGACCAGAGGTCAGCGACGGACCGGACCAGAAGTCAGTGGCGGACCGGACTAAAAGTCAGTGGCGGACCGGACCAGAGGTCAGTGGCGGACCGGACCAGAGGTAAGCGACGGACAGGACCAGAAATTAGCGACGGACCGGACCAGAAGTCAGTGGCGGACCGGACCAGAGGTCAGCGACGGACCGGACCAGAGGTCAGCGACGGACCGGACCAGGGGTCAGCGACGGACCAGACCAGAAGTCAGCGACGGACCGGACCAGAGGTCAGCGACGGACCGGACCAGAAGTCAGTGGCGGAACGAACTGGAGGTCAGCGGCAAACGCCGTTCGGTTTTGCGGAACCTGCGATCCCTGTCAATACTGATCTTGCTCCTAAGATTGCCTAGCGCGAAGGGTTGGAACGTTTCATGTAATTTGTTTAAAAGTCGAATCTGCAAAAGAATGGACGTTCTCAGACAAATATGGGGTGACATTCTCTTTACTTTTGACCTTCTTTCGCCACTGTTGTTAAGCACTTATCGATTACTTTTTTCCTGGCAAGGGGCCCTGTGGGAAGAACACTAGGGACAGCATTATCGCCCTCG